CCCCCCCTTCCCCTTCACTTCTCCTTACGGATTTTTTGATTTCTTTGAGAGCCAAGTTCAAATACAATAAGAGACAGGGGAGCAAATAATTAGTTTCTAAAAGAGAATAAGATTACATTAAATAGTTATCTGCAATTCTACAACAGTTTAAAAAACAAACTGGAGAATCACGTTATTCTTCCAAGTTCCTGAAAGCCGTCTGCATCTGCTCATACAGATCATCGTAATCCTTTTTGATCTTTTGCTCACCTTCCTTGACCGGGTCCTTGAATTTCATGGAAGAAAGCTGATACATAATATCGCCAAGGTGGTCACGAATCGTCGCCCAGGTTATCTTATTTTCTGCTAGCGTTGTTGTTTCTACCGCATGCCTTGCTAAGTCGTAGAAAGCAATCATATTCTTCAGCATTCCCACTGTTTTGTAGAAAGGACAAAATCGGTCATAAGGCGCATAGCCATTCTGCTGAAGGAAATCATCCTTGATTAATTTAGCCACTTCCAAAGTGATTTTATCAGATTCAGCAAGCGAAGCCTTGCCAACCAATTGTACAATCTCGGATAAATCCTCCTCCTCCTGAAGGATTTCCTTGCATTTGGTGCGCAAGCTCACAAATTCTGGAAAATTTTTGTCGTAATATTCATCCAGCGCTCTCATATATTTGCTATAGGATATGAGCCAATTAATTGATGGGAAATGTTTCCGCTGTGCGAGCTTCTTGTCCAAGCCCCAAAATACCTGTACAATACCAAGTGTAGCGGATGTGACCGGGTCAGCAAAATCACCGCCAGGCGGCGAAACCGCACCCACAATTGTTACAGACCCCTCACGCTCCGGGCTCCCCAAACATTTCACTTTTCCGGCTCTTTCATAAAATGACGCCAGACGCGCCGCCAGATAAGCTGGGTAACCAGAATCAGCAGGCATCTCACCCAGACGTCCGGAAATTTCACGCAGCGCTTCCGCCCAGCGAGAAGTAGAATCAGCCATCATTGAGACATTCAGTCCCATGTCACGGAAATACTCTGCCAACGTAATGCCAGTGTAAATGGATGCTTCACGGGCCGCCACAGGCATATTTGACGTGTTTGCGACCAGTGTTGTGCGCATCATGATGGACGTCGTTGCACCATTCACCTCCATTGTTAGTTCCGGGAAGTCACGCAACACCTCGGACATCTCATTACCACGTTCACCACAACCGACGTAGATAATAGCATCTGAATTTGAAAATTTCGACAGCGACTGCGAGATGACGGTTTTGCCACAGCCGAATGCGCCTGGAATGGCGGTGGTACCACCCTGAACACACGGGAACAGCGCATCCAGGACTCGCTGACCACAAAGCAACGGGAAGTTGGCTGCCAATTTCTCGGCGCAAGGACGCGGTTGCCGTACAGGCCAGACTTGCAGCATCGCAAACTTGGACTTCTCGCCGGCAAATTCAACTTCCAGCACAATATCCGTTACATTGTATTGTCCGGCCGGAGCCAAATATGTGATGGTACCGCAGGCGGTCGGCGGAAGCATTATCCGATGGTTGATGAGGACGTTTTCGTGCACGTAACCGATAATATCGCCTCCGGTGATGTGGTCACCAACGCCGAGTGCTTTATTCGGTTCGAAATCCCAACGAGCATCACGCGATAGCGCATGAATGTTGACTCCCTTAGGGATGTAGATGGACTGCGTCAAGTCGACAATATCTTTCAGTGGGCGCTGGATACCATCAAAAATGGATCCCATAATTCCGGGGCCGAGTTCCACAGAAAGAGGCTTACCAGTCCGAAGTACTGGGTCGCCGATTGTTACTGCTGATGTATCCTCGTACACCTGTATGGTCGCATAATCGCCCTCCAACCGAATGATTTCACCGACCAACTCGGAGTGGCCGACACGAACCAGCTCGTACATCGCTGAACCGGCCATCTTCTCGGCTGTGACCACAGGTCCCGAGACGCCGTACACAAAGCCATAAGACCCCTCTTTCGCATCTTCCAGTAATTTCAGTGTCGGCGGCATATTTTTGACCGTACGACTGCACCCCTGATGGACGGTGCTCCTGAAAATACCAGCAAAGTTGAGTATGCAACAGCAAGGCGCAAAATAACACACACGTGGCAGTAGCAGTGGGGATCCGAACGACACTCAAAACTGGTTGTGGCTACACTGAATCAGAGGAGCCAAAAACCGAACTAAGCAGGTAGGTGCCCAGGAGCCGGAGGTAACAATCTCAACAGCATCCTAGAACTCGTAGAGGAAACTTCCTAACGGATGCCCGCAGCAAATACAGTGCTTCTGCTACGATGAGGTCACCCTCCTCCGCTGAAAGTCGCCAATGTACCCTAACAGACCCCGCAGCGCTCCGCCAAAACTAACACATCTGACCGATCGCATTACTCCGCTTTTGCCATGGCATCAAATTTCACACTGCTATAAACCTCCGGATGATTGTCGAGAACAGAACGCGAGATTGAAGAGCCCCGACAAAGACACAAACGAGCAAAGACTGCTCATGACAGGAGCGGCGGAGAAAAAGACATCGCCGCGCGACGCACGGGAAGGGAGGGTCTGCTAGAAAAAGGGCAACTAAAAATCGGCTCAGCTGGCCCCGGATGTCGATTTGTGATGATTGGAAGTCCAGCTATGATAAGAGGAGGGCGGGGGATGCAGAAGGAAGCAAGGGAAGGGGCTGAGGGTCGGGGCTGG